TCAGTTATACCAACTATTAGGAATTTGTTCTGAGCTTTTAATAGCTTTTAAAACAAAATACACCTTCAGTCTGAAACTTAGGAAACTTTGTTATTGTTCCTTTAAATTAATTGGTAACGTTTTCAGTTTATTTTCTTACTAGCCATTGTTTTATTGCTTGTGTGACTATCTGTGATTTTCATAAACCTTGAGTGTGAAACGTTAATGGGTCACTAATATTTTGTCAGTTGGAGTACTTCCATATTTTCTTCCATAGGTGTCAGCAAATTTTGCACCAGCAAAATGTACTTGTTTTGAGACTTTGTCCTTAAACTCATAGCTACCCAGCAAAGCATTTTATTGATGAAAAGCTATTTTCCTTCCTGAAGGAAAAGCACATTTCTGGTGTCACAGTCCCTTTCTGAGGACGAGCGTCTGCGTCCTTCTCCCTCAGTGCTCTGCTGCTGTCAGGGCTTCCTGCTGAGGGTCTTCTCTTGGTTCTGAACCACTGGCTCCCAGCCAGCCTGACTTAGTTACTGTATGTACTAATTGATTTTTTTTTCCCAAGTTATTTTAGCATACATAAAGCAATTGGGAAATTTTTAAATTTCAAAATATTAGGGGAGTACAAGTGTTTTGTGATACGGATGAGATGACTAGCGCTGACGTCAGGGCTTTGAGTGTGCCGTCACCAGAGCAGTGCCCGTCTGGCCTGACAGGTACACCTTTATGCCTCAGAACTGGGGATTTGATTGTCCGCTTTCTGTGTGTGTTGTGCTATAAGTTCTGAAATCAGGAGACTGCGTCTGTCTTATTTATTGGCAAGTTTCCTGACATCAGGCGGCTAGATACCCCATCTGCCTTCCTGCCTGGGGCCGGCTGGCCTGGCTCCACGGGACATCCTCACGCTGTGTGCCAGTGGTGCAGTGAGCTCTATACTCTGCATAGTATGAGTGAGTTTCTTAGTCTGTCTGTACTTCAGCTTCCTTATCTATAAAATAAAATTAATAAACCTATAACTTTTGATTATCGAATGAGATAATTTGTCAGGCATTCAGTACCTGGCACAAGGGAAGCATTCAGTAAATGTTAGCTATGGTGGCTTTCATCACCTGCCCTAGCAAAGACCTTCGTGCGTGGCAGGCACCAGACGATTATTGTTAAATGAGTTAGCAAGTAAAACCTTGAACCATGTCGTAAGTCACATGTCCAGTTCCTTGTTTTCACACACACAGTTTCAAGGACAGATCTGCCAGTTTCTTACCAGGTTCATTCTATGGATTTTCTGATGTATGAATTTCAGAATACTGAAGAAAAGCCAACAAAATCTTTTTCTTAGATGGAGTTTGTTGTAAGAAAGAAAATGTAGGTTCCATATTTTGCTTTTCAGATCCCAGAATTGCTCTGTAAATCGGTTGTAATACTATTCATATGTTTTCTTTTTATAAAGGACCATTGAAAAATCAAAATGCATAGTGATTTCTTGGTGCTCAGATACTTCAAAAGAAATTGAAATACTTAGTTTTTTCAAGTATTCACTCAGGCCTTTTCTTTTAGTCATTTGAAAATAAAAGAATTCACTTAGAGTAATTCAGTCTCTTTTCCACAGTAATTACTATTTAGTTTTTTATACTCAATAAAGAGAATTCTTTTC